AATGCCAAGTACATTGTGGCTTCACGAACCAGGACCAAAGGTGGCACACTGGTGAAACCGCATCCCAATTAACCCAGTGTTTATAAAAGTTAGAAACAAGTTATTTATTTTAAAAGGGCTCATTTAATTTTTCAAAAATAATATAAAAAATCGATTTGAATAGAACATAAATGATACTAAGAGATCATTACACTTATAGAAAATTATGTTTAAGAGATTCGTAATAATTTGTCGTTTAAGACCTCGAATATCTTAGGGTCGGCCTTGCTTTTAACCATCGAAAGAGATGCATGAAATTGTTTGAATTCGCTTTTCTATCTAATCCCAACACGTTTGATTTTAAGAATCAAAAACAAATTCCCAATTTGCAGTCATTATATTCACTTAAGATTGTATATAAAACTAGTAATATACTCAAAATTATTAGTATCAGAAATGAAAGATTTACACGAACTTACCTTTAGAAGGTATGGATTCCAAACAGGCTTACAAAACATATTTGGGAGATCGCCATATGGAAGAGGAAGAGATGATGTGAGATCCGTATTGCAAAGCACTTTAACGCCATCCTCATCAAGATTTTGTGCTCCAACAAAAATAATTGATTCTGCAATCAAAATCACAAAAAATAATCCGAATTTGAATCCGAATGATTTTTCATCCATTGGAAAAATTCAGATTTGGCAATGTGGGAAATGAACGGATGGAAAAAGATAAAGCAAGAATTTTGTAAGGTGCAGTAGGTGAAAGGGTATTGATTAAAAGTGGCTTGAGTTTTAAGTTTGTATAGAGGATGAAGGCGGAGGAGGACCGGAGGTGGTGGGGTTGGAGGTGGCGGGTGATCATCATTCCAAATACTTCAACCAACGGTTTAAAAAGAACATAGATGTCAGTATCTATCATGACCAACTTCCGATTGAATTTATTTGTTTCATCCGTGAAAATTGGACAAAAAAGACGAGAATTTTTAAGTTTAACAGTCGTTATTATAAACTAAATTGGCTCTTCTGATTTTTATCATTAAACTTCAATTAATTAACGTGTTTCTCTCTAATAATTATTTACATCCAAATATTCTGCTAATGCACATTTAAACAAGGGTCAAAATTTTGTCAATTTTTTTAATTTTCAATTATTTAGAAATATGAGATGTAAATAAATCTTTCACCACCCTCCTTACAAATTTTTTGGACGTAAAAGGTCAATAGAGACTGGAAGTGCAAATTAATTGAACATTGAGGATCAGAATTCGACGATAAAAAGTTGATATCACTAGGTCGAATATATGGTGAGACCACATTTGTCTCAATGCGCCGTTATTACCAGAAAGCAGCACTGTGTAATGGAATTATACAGTGTGCTTTAAGGTGTATAAATTCATAAAAAGTGGTCTAATGTGTATTAGAATTTAAGTAGGGGATATGATAACATTACACACAGCTAA